GTGGACTACTTTGCAAACTTTAGTTGCAGTATTTTCAAATCACTAGCTTGACCCCTGAAATCTCTTATTCTGTGGTTATTTTTCTCTCCCCTTTGCAAAGACCTAGAGTTCTGATGTAGTTTAGCCAAGAGATGAAAAAAAAACAACCAAAAACAGAGGAGCCAGCATTTTCACCTCTTTCTGATTTGAATTTCTTTTGATTTTATTTGGTTAAAATCAGTGAAAGGGACCACGTTTTCCATGTTCCCCATGGTCCCAGGGAGTCAGCAGCCACCTCTCCCTTCCGTGTCGAACGTTATGTGCTTTCTTCCTGGGATGCAGCGCTGAAATGGAGGCCACAGCTCTGTTTCACCTGCATTCGCTCCAAACCTGTGAGCTTCAAAGGGGTTGAAGAACTAAATGTGCTTTCCGCAGACAATTCCCTGCAGCCATTCCTTGCCTGGCTTGGGGCCAGGCTGGCATCGCTCTGTCCCCCCCCAGCCCTCCCGCTCCAGACCAGCGTGCATCGCACAGTAGCTGTAACCCGCGCGGGGTGCACCCTGCTAAATCCTGGGGTGATGTTTATTAACCTCCACCACCCCCCCGCAAGAGAAAAGGGCCCTTTGCGCTTCAGGCTGCCCTGCCCCGCCTTGACCTCGCTTACGTGCCATTTCTTGAGAGGCAATAAATTGTATTGTACCACTGTCTACCATTACTCTGTTGAATACGCACATCTCTCTGGATATATATATATGGTATCTCATTTGTATATATTTATATACTCTGTATGTACGTGTGTGTGGGTATACGTGCACACACACCTCACGCTGTGCATTTCTGTCAGGGCACTTCAGTTCTGCTGTTCTTTTAGCTCTCCTGTTTGTGAGCAAAAGCAACCCCTGCAGCAGGGCTCTCGAGGGCGAGCGCACGGCCGTGCCTCTGCGCAAGCTGTGCTGGGGGCTGAACGCACTCAAAAGCCCTCGCTTAAATACTGCCCTGCTAATTGTAGCTTTCTTTTTCTGGGGCGCAGGAGGGCAGGATAGCTGCTATGGGTGTGCTGTGAAGGAGAGAAGAGAGCTCCCAGAGCGTATCAGAAAGTCAGAAGACAGCAGAGAAGAAAACAAGATGGTATAGCGTTAGGAAAGCAGTTGAGGCAATGTACTGATCTGCTGGGGAGGCGGTGAGTAGGCCGGTGAAGTGCTCAGCAGGCTGAGCTCAGAGTCCCCAGCTGTGTCTCGCCACAAAAGATCACAAGCCCGGCACGGTCTTGGCACGCTGCACCGGCACTAACTTTTGGTATTCCTGAGCTCAAGCCGCCGCTAACTGAACACTCGCTACCTTTGTGTGTGTCAGGTAACTAGAGCAGGTTCTGTGGAGGATCAGAAGAGAAGCTAAATTGGAAGATTTAAAATATATGTGTGTACAACATGTACATGCACGTATGTACACACACAGACGCTTTTGGTCCATTCTTTATTCTGCCTAGGCACGTGTGTTTGGCTGCTTGAGTCCGGTAAGCAGAGGACAGCCTTGTTCTTCTCCTGGGTGCTTGCTCTGCATTTCTAGTAAATCTTACCCTGGTCTTTCTCATAGTAGAGGGGTGAGTGCCATGCTGGACACTACGAGCTCCTCAAGCTGTGAAGACCCTTCTGACCTTTTCCTTTGTCCTCTACAGACCCCATCTTAGTGAGGCATCTGGCAGTTCGGGGAATAAATGATTCTCGCATGTGTCAAGTCACAACTGTTCATCCAGCTGCAATATTTCCCCCCCC